ACGGGCATGCGCTACCACACCCGGCTGATTTTTTGATTTATTGTAGAGATGAGGTCTCGCTGCCCAGGCAGGTCTCGAACCCGTGGGCTCAGGCAATCCACTCACCTCAGCCTCCCAAAGGCACGGGATTACAGGCTGAGCCACTGAGCCCGGCCCCCGTGTTTTTAATTTTACCATTCCAGTGTGTGGACAGTGGTACCCCATGATGATTTTAGTGTCTGTTTCTCTAAAATCTAAAGATGTTATACGCCCTTTTCTATGCCTATCAGCCATTTGCATACCTTCCTTTTTGTATTGGGTGGTCTACCATCCTTGGGTCAAGTTCCAGGATTTTAAAAGATCGTTACAGTCGGGCTCGGTGGCTCAGACTGTAATCCCAGCAGTATGGGAGGTCAAGGTGAGTGGATTGCCTTAGCCTGCGGGTTTGAGACCAGCCCAGGGAACTTGGCGAGACCTTGTCTCTACAATAAATCAAAAATTAGCCAGGCGTGGTAGTGCACACCTCTAGTTCCAGCTACTTGGAAGGCTGAGGCAGAAGGATCGCCGGAGTCCAGTAAGTGACACTGGGATGGCCGCGAGTGTGCCACTGCAGTCCAGCCTGGGTGACGGAGTGAGACTTCAACTCAAAAATAAAATAAAGATCTTTACATATTCTGGATACAAATCCTCTGTCGGATAGATTATTCTGAATATCCGTCCCCACCATCTGTGGCTTGCCTCTTTAACAATGTCTTTCAAAGACCAGAAAGGATTACTTTTTGATGTTCAGCTTGCCTCTCTTTTTTCTTTCAAGGTTCTTGCTTTTGCGTCTGACTGAGGTACTCCTTCTTCCCAAATGAAAGTCTGTTTTTCCAGGATCATTCGCAGGGGGGAGGGGTTATGTGTGTCTGGTGCTCTGGGCTCCCCACTTGGTTCTACAGCTCTGTATGTCTACCCTTTCACCAGCAGCACACTGCCTTGATTATCACAGCTTTAAAATAAACCTAAAAGTTAGGATTATATGAAATATTCTAACTTCTGTTTCATATATGAGGGGGAACCCAGAAACTCCCAGGAATTATCTTTTAGAGGGTAGGTCCCTTGTAATACAGGCTTCCTCTGCTAAGTAAGTGTTCTAGGAACTCATTGGCTTTTATCTAGAAGTTTTGAGAGGGTTGTGTCATAATTTGTGAAAGAAATGTGCCGAGTTGTGGCAAACAGGTAACTGGTTCTTCCACCATGACAATGCACCTGCCCACACTGTGCTGAGTGTTCAGCAGCTTTTGACCAAAAATGGTGTGACCCTGTGCCTCACCTTCTCTGTTCACATGATCTCACCTGTACATTTTTTTGTTTCCCTGGATGAAAAAAGTCCTCAAAGGGAAATGTTTTGCTGATGTGGAAAAGTTGAAACAAAAAATGACAAAAACACTAAGTCATGAAAAGTGAAGAGTTCAAAAACTGTTTTAAGTAGTGGAAAAAGAGTCTTGATGGGTGTATTTCATCAAATGGAGAGTGCTTTGAAGGTGACTGAAGTTTAAACATCTAAGAATACACAAATTTTAAGCAAATAAATTCTGGGTTTTTTGGGTCCTCCCTCACAGGCAGGCAAATAGATAGACATAGAATCCATTTGCTGATTTTAAAAATGCTCTCAGTGTCTAGGTTCATAAAGGATATCGTTTTCTTGTGATGTCTTTGATTTTGCTACCAGGATAATGTTGGCCTCATACACTAAGTAAGGAAGTGTTTCCTCCTTGTCCATTTTCTGAATGGTAGGATTGGTACTATTTCTTCTTTAAGTAGAATTCATCAGGTTAGGTCTTTGGGCCTGAAATTGTCTTTGCAGGTTTTATTATTATTACAAATTGGTTATAAATTCAATTTCTTTAACAGATAATAAGCACTTTATTTTTTGGTGCCAGTTTTGGCAATGTACATTCCTCAAGGAATTTGCCCAATTATACTTTTGGGGTTGCCTGCACAAAAGTCAGAAAAAGCCCTCAGAATACTGAGAGGTCTGCCAGCCTCCCATAGGCACTGGAGTGCTTTGCCTGAGGCCAGTGGTCAGGACTGTGCTGGGCCTCTTGGTAAGCAAAAGGAATCAGAGTTTAATGGAGGACATACTCATGTGTAACAGGCAGTGGTAGTAGACAGATGCACCTGGTTCGAGACATGTCCAAGTAAGAGTGACTTGAACAGTAAAGACGTTTAGTAATTCCACACAAGTCTGGAGATGTGGCATTCCCAGGACAGGAGCTGCAGCTCTGTGATCAATGATCTTTCCATCACCCCGTGTACCCTCACTGTCCTCCTCGGGTCCCTTCATGCTGGAGGGCGGCTGTAGCCACACCCTGATGGGTCACCCTCCTCTGGGAATGGGGGGACCACTTCAGACCAAAGGTTCAATCAGGTCCCCCAAACCTCGGGCAGGAGTCGGAGGAGCTGGCGGTGCTCAGGGAGGCTATGAGCGCGCGCCCCAGGGGAGCGGCGGGAGTCACGCGCCAAGACGCCTTGGTCAGGCCCGGGTGGTTCCTGAGATGCCTTTTCCCCAGCTGCTCCAGAGCTGGGGACACACCTGGGAGGCCGCAGAACGCAGCCATCGGTGGCTCGTCCTAGTGGCTAGAAACCCCAGTTCCCCAGATGCAGCTCCCACCCCATTCGCCAAAGCGTCACAGACTCCATACTGAGGACAGACGAGAACACTTGCTACAGCCTCCCGCACGCGCTGCGTCCACACTAGAACGCATGTGGTGGTCGCCGTCCGGCCCCACCCCAGTCCCGGCTGCGCCCCGCGCCGTCCAGCTCGCCTGGCCTCGCGGACTGTTCGGCGCTCTCCTCGAGGGGCTGCGCCATGTTGCCGCACAACTGCGCCACCGCGCACCACACCGTGCTAGAAGAGGATGAAGAGCCAGCGTCCGCGTGACCGGCCGCTAACCCCCGGACGGGTCAGGATAGCAGTGCTCAGCCTGACTCGCCTAGCTCCGCTCGGGACGACGGCCGACGCACGCGTGGGGGGGCGGGCCTCTGGACGTTGCCATGGCCACAGGCGACGCGCTCCTCTGGGAAGGAGCAGGCGCATGCTTCCGGGGCGGGGTGCGGTCGCCGGAAGTGCGTGGCCGCCGGGGGCCATGGCGGTGCTCGGCATCGTCTGCTTGGTTCTCTGGGCAGCAACCTGGCCGCCGACCTCGGCCTCGGGCGAGGAGTTCTGGCCCGGCCAGTCGGCGGCCGACATCCTGTCCGGAGCGGCGTCCCGCAGACGGTAAACGCGCTTCTACGGCGCCAACGGCCAGGCTCCAGGGTCGAGACAGAGGGGCGAGGATAGTGGTGGGGGCAGGGCGGGGGACGGGCTGGGGGCAGTGGTGGGGCCGGGGAAGGGGTCAGGGGACTGGGAGCAGTGGGCAGGAGTCAGTGGGCCGGGACGGCGGGGCCGATGGTCGGGGTCGGAGGGCTTTGGGCAGGCGCAGCCTTTGCCCTGGCTGAGCCTGAGGGCAGGCCTTCGAGGTTCCTATGAGACGATGTGGGTCCAGGTCTGGATTTGGGGAGCCCTGGAATCAGGTTGAGCGGGATGGTGCCTTTGTGTCTGCACGGAGCCAGTCATATGTGGGATGTTCCCTAGATATAAGTCTCCGGGGAAAGCGATCTTCTCAGTCGTCCAGCAGTTACTGAGGAATTGGTATAAAACAGACCGAGTGCATGTCCCAGGGATGTAGAGATGGTGCCTGAGCCCCTTCCTGCAGGTGTTCGCAGCCTTGGGGAGTTGGAGGTGTGTGACTAAGGAGTACACGCAGCTTCAACTGGAGTCATGGAAGTCTGTGGAAAACGTTGATATAGAGAAGGGAGGTGAGAACAGCAGGAACAGGGTTTTCCCTGAAGCTGGATGACTCCTGTCTATGTGTTTTAGAGAGCGGAGCCTTGCTTTAGACAGTGCAGAGGTTCTCAAAGTGTGTCCAGGAATCCCTGAGGTTTCAGAACCATTTTAATAGTCATACCAGGGCATTATTTGCCATTTTAACTTATCACATGGAGTGCACTGTGGAGTTTGTCTAGAGGCCTCCTGATCTGTGATATTGCAGCAGATTGAATGCAGAAAGAGATATGAGAACCCAGCTGTCACCATGCCCAAAAAAGATTGGCAAAAATGAAAAACTGCCATTCTTTTCATAATTTGTTTTGTTTTGAAAAATACACTTTTAAATTTAAAAATGTTATTTTTGCTAACATGCAATGAGCATATGAATATTTTATTTTATTTTATTTGAGTTGGAGACTCACTCTGTTGCCCAGGCCCACACTCATGGCCACCCCATCGTTGACCTGCTGGGCTCCAGCAATCCTTCCACCTCAGCCTTCCAAGTAGCTGGAACTACAGGTGCATGCTACTGTGCCCGGCTAATTTTTTATTTTATTGTAGAGATGAAGTCTCGCCAAGTTGCCCGGGCTGATCTCGAACCTGCAGTCTTAGGCAATCCACTTGCCTCAGCCTCTCAAAGTGCTGGGATTACTCAGCCATGAAGCCTGGCCTGTATGAAAATTTTAAGTGAATTAATAAATACTTCTAGCTTTAATTTCTAACATAATAACTACTAATAGATGTAACTTCATACACAGCAGCTTTGGGGGGTCCTCAGTCTTTATTTGTAGTATAAAGGGTCTTTAGACCAAGCAGTTCGAGAACAAGGTGAGATCTGTTTTTCAGGTTCTAGTCACTGAGATGCCTCTGGTCTTAGTATTGAATTATTGTTTGTTGTGATTGGAATGTTAAGATGTCTGCTGCTCCTGCTCATGGGCTCTGTGATTGGTCATATAGAAACAGATGGGCAGCTGTCTTCACTTTACAGACTAGAAACAACTGTAAGTGTTCAGAGCTGCATGATGTGCTGAGATTTGTGAGCAAGTTGGGCTTTCTGTGCAGAGGCATCAGCATTCGAGAGCTGTGTCCTGCTCCTCCCTACTCAGGTATCTTCTGTATGATGTCAACCCCCCTGAAGGCTTCAACCTCCGCAGGGATGTCTACATCCGCATCGCCTCTCTCCTGAAGACTCTGCTGAAGACTGAGGAGTGGGTGCTTGTGCTGCCCCCATGGGGCCGCCTCTACCACTGGCAGAGCCCTGATATCCATCAGGTCCGGATTCCTTGGTCCGAGTTTTTTGATCTTCCAAGTCTCAATAAAAACATCCCCGTCATTGAGTATGAGCAGTTCATAGCAGGTGAGGCAGAGTGTCAGATGGTGCGCGTCTCATGGGGGCTGGGCAGTTGTCTCTATTGTAGACATCAGCCCAGGCTGGAAACTATGGCCAGCCAGCTGTGCTTCACCAGCATCCTTGACCTGTTCTGTGCTCTCATCAGGCCTGTTGCAGTGCCTGCTCTGCATGAAGTCCCCTTCCCCTTCCTGGACTCCCCATGAGCACCCTATGTTCTCTCTAGGGAAGTAGGTCTGAGGTGTGTGAGCTTTGTGCCCTCCCTGTGAAGACATGGCAGAGAGTGTAGTTAGAAGTACCCTGAGAAAGTGGCCAGCCCTGAATGTTGTCCCAACTGGCTCGGCCCCTGTGCTCGGAGGCCTTTACGTGAAGGGAGACATACTGGGTGTGGAGTGGGCTTTGTGGTGTCTCACTGCTGTGGTGCAAATAAAGATACATCTTGTTTAACTTCTAGTTGTTTGACCTTTCCATTTTAATTTTTTAAATAGAGAAATTAAAGTTTTTCTTAGAAGAAAGGCATTTAGACCATCATGATGTTTTGTTGGAAAACCTAAATTCTTTTCCACATATTTGAGGACTGGAAGAATGAGTGAGTTTCGCATCTAGCTGCTGCTTGCAGCATGTACTGGGTTCTTACTGAGCAATGTGCTCTGGGCTAGAGGCCTTGTCCCTGCCAGGAGCGTGACTCTGTAGTATGTTCATCAAGTGTGTGGTGCTTGCTGCAAGTTAGATCCCTTCACTTTGAAATACATGGGAGTCTCGTGAGCACTGGGGCACAGAACAGCAGAGGGAGTGTCTTCTGACATCCTCATCACACTGTTGACACCAAGTCTGGGCCTTGTCAAAAGCATTCTTAGGATGCGTCCCTCCCTGGCTTGACTTTTAAAAGATGAGAGCTGGGGTTGGGTGTTTGGTCTGACTAATGATTGGCCCCTGGTCTGAACCACAGGTCATAGGCACCCAGATGGGTTTCCCAACAGTGGAACTGGGGGCTGGGCCATGGGCACAAGTGTTGCTTAGTGACTGAGAGGATGGTGCCCTGTATGATGGGGAGGACATGCTGACTGGACACTCACCTGCCATACCCTAGCTCAAGCCTTCTTGAGTTGTTTCCAGGGCTGCCAGGAGACCCCATGTGAGGAAGCTCAGGATGTGCCTAACATGGCACCTGGTATATGGGGTGTTTATCACCTCCTACCAGTGTAGAAGGATCCCTGTGGCTCTGCCTCTGGCCCAGCAGCTGCACAGCTATTAGCCCCAGTAGCAAGAGGGTGGGAGAGAGATACCAGAATTCCACTTGCTGTACCTTCTCATTGTTAACTTTGCCCATTCTGCATTTGAGCACATCTTTATTGATGGCATGGATGTGGCAGCCACCATGTTCTCTCTCGTCTGTGTGGGTGGGGCACAGAGTAAGAGGACCTCCTGCCATTCCTGGGCTTCTGTTCTCATGGGAGGTGAGACACCAGCAGAATTAACTAGTGGGGTAGACAGTGCTCAGGAGGGTGAGGGACACTGGAGAAGTCAAGGGAGTCAGGGAGTGTCAATGGACAGGTGGCTACATAGGGTTGGAGAGCAAGCCCTGGAGGGGAGTGGTCCGTGCAAGGGCCCTGAGGAGGAAGCATACTGTGTGCTGCCACAGCAGGGCAGGGACAGGGCTAAGGAAGGACCTAGACAAGCTGAACCCCAGGCTTCCCCTTCACCCTCTCTGGGCCCATGACCTGATGGTGCTTATTCTGTCCTCTCTGCTTTCGTAAGCCCCCTCCAGTTCTTCTTGGGAAAAAGGAAATGTAAAATTAATTCACTGGAAGTCCTGTTTATCCTAGGTCTCTTTGCACGGGCTGTTAGCACACTTATGGTTCCTGTCACACCGCTCAGGTCTTGTTGGTGTTTTTCAGAATCTGGTGGGCCATTTATCGACCAGGTGTACATCTTACAAGGCTATGCAGAAGGGTGGAAGGAAGGAACCTGGGAGGAGAAGGTTGACGAGCGACCATGCATTGATCAGCCGCTGTACTCCCAGGACAAGCATGAGTACTACAGGTACCTGCATGATGGGCTCCCCAGGTACCTGCATGGTGGCTCACCCACCATGCACCTGCCTCATGCCTTCTTGTTGTCACAAACACCTTCACTGCACATGCTTGTGTCATGATGTGATGTGGTGTCTGAGGCTCTCTTCCAGGCAGCCCTCATGTGGCTGCGTGCTCATAGCTGCCTTGACTGCCCTTCATCCTGAATATGCAGTTCCTCCTCCTGCTGCAACCGCAGGCCCGGGGAATAGGTACCTCACCCTTTATAGACAGAGAACTTGGGCCGTTTTAAAAACACTTGAGATCTGTCACTTTTCCCCTGCATCTCATAATGCACTTGGATGTGGCCTGTGGGAACATGTCTTGTCAACCCCAAACACAGATTGCCAACAGGGGCTCTGACATCACAAGGCTTCCTGTGGAAAGGCTATCACTTAGCACATCCATATGTAAAGTGCTAAAGCAATTGGTTCTAATGCATGAGTAATTGAGAATCCCTTTGGAAAGGCACAGCTGACCCTGAAGGTGGAAGGGGTGGCCTCTGCCCAGCCTTCTCTCCACTACCTGGTACTCCCATCAGCAGAAAGCTTCAGTGGTCTATCAAGTTAGACAGAAATTCATGGCTTGCTTCTAAAATTTTTTATAAGAATATCACCATCTGTAATCATGATCAGTAAGTTTTTCCTAAGCAAAGTAGTTGTGTTTTGTCAAGTTTGAGCCATGTTGTATGTGTCGAGATTTTATTAGTTACCCTCATGAAGGCAAGAGAAATTCATAGAAGTCCTGTGGTTTCATTCTCCAGAGGATGGTTTTGGGGTTATGAAGAGACCAGGGGCTTGAACGTTTCCTGTCTGTCTGTCCAAGGCTCGGCCTCCATCATGGCACCTGTACTTCTGAAGAGCACTTCTGCTCGGTGAGTACCCATCCCAGGCACAGCCCTCCAGGCAGTGGGCCCATACTCTGCATGTTGGCATCAGAACACTCCATGCCTGCACACCCCAACTTGCTCTCTCCATGGCGAGCAGGATCCCAAGGGAGGAGGGCGCTGGGGTTGAGGAGGAGGCTGCGTGTGTCTCTGAGGAGAACCCCAGGAGAGACGGGTTGGGATCAGCTGCGTCGACGCTCTGGTTGCCATGTGTGTGCCAGCGTGGCCTCTGCCCCATGCAGGAGCCTCTAGGGAAGCTGGGGATTGATGTTCTGAGTTGCTTCTCCATCACCCATCCCCTCCCCTCCCCCCCCACACAACCCCTCCCTACCCCTGTTTCATTTTCTTGCATCTTGAGTCTGGGTGATTGGTGATTGTGAAGCCATCCTTGGCCCTATGTCTGCAGTGGAGCCAGGGCAGTTGCTCTCTCTCGCCACTGGGTGGCAGCCGGCCCTAGTGAGATGCTGTGAGGGGTCCACTCAGGGATACCAGGGACTGCAGACAAGTTGAGCCTGGCTGGCTATAAGGAAGTGCTAAGCCTACTAAGCCATATTCTAGAACTTGCTGCAGCCTAGGAGCCTCTGTCATCTCCCCTCAGCTTTCTTCCAGTCCTTAGCAGCCAACAGTGAGTGTCTCCCAAATGCTTGGGCACCAGGGCCTTGAGTTCCCCGTACTCCAAAGCAGCTTCCTGCCCTCACCTCTGACATGTGCCTCCAGAGCCTATGGGCTGCTGACTGTGACTCTGTCTGCAGATCACACTTTGCCCGGGGCTGCGCTGGTCAATAGAGCTGTCTAGTGGGCTGATACTCATGATCTTCTTTTGGCTGCATTGGCCCATTGTGAACAGGACATACATTAGCGTCTGCTGCTCAGTAAGGCTTCTGTCAGTTACAGAAAGTAGAACTGGACTTTCAGAACAGTTGAGGGGCCAGGTCTGAGTTTGGGGGTTGAGATCCAGCTTTAGTATTGCCTAGGACTGGGCCCTTTTCGTGTAAATACCTGGGTTGCAAACATAGATCTGCCTAAGTATTGGACCTGCAGGACGCAGTCTTGCCGGTCAGTCTTTTCTGACTCACGTTTATAGGTCAGAATGGAAGCCTGGAAGAAGGTGTGTGGCTTGACACATGCTACTGGACTCCTGAGGAAGAGGCCCAGGAAGAAAACCAGGTTGGAGGCCAACCAGTGTGCCAGCCAGCCCTTGGGTGAAGGCTGACTGTGCCAAAATGGGGCCTTGGTGGAGGGTCCAGGCTGGGCCATCATGGGGAACCCACAGAGAGACCTGGGACTAGGTGGTCCCAATGTAGGAGCAACACCTCTGCTCAGGGGCTGCAGGGAAAAAGCACTGTGGTTAGTGAGGTGAGTGGGGGCATGGAGTTACCCACCAGCACACAGGTGGCTCAAGTCCCGTGGGTTAAAGCCTCAAAGAGAAGGCGAAGCTGTAAGCTGCTGGAAGGACAGCCCTATGACCTTGAGGAGGGAAGCATTTCTTAGATATGAAAACTCACTAGCCAAAAAAGAAAAGGTTGAGCAATTCAGTCATGTTAAATAATTTTTGTCCTTTAAAAAAATGAGGACAGGCCTTGGAGAAGGAGAAGGTCCTCACAGCATGTTTGGTCAGTTAAGGACTCTGTCTGGACTGTTGGTGAAGTTCCTAAAAGTTGGTGAGAGTAGCCAGGCAACCTGGAGTAAGAGGAGTCTGGCAGGACCCACACACCACAAAGGAAGCACAGCTGCCACCACTAGGAGGACACCCAGCCTCAGTGGTCAGGAAGCTAGCACCATTGGAAGGGTGAACAGCGAGACATGAAAGCTACTCTTGGTAGGATAACTTGGTACAACTGCTGGGAGCATGAATATACCATGTTTCCAGGAAGACCCACTCTTTCAATGTGTACTAGATAGAGTGCTCGATGGATTCAGAACTGAAAATGCAGACTGCTACCATATTCAGCAAAGATGAACTGGGATATCATGTCCAGTAAAAAAAAGAAAAAGAAAAGAAAACCTGAATGCGGTCAGTTTCCATGTGCATAAAGCTCAAGACAGGTACATGCATAGGGCATGGAGGTGGGAGGCTGTGCAGGAGGGCTCCAGGCATGTGAGTGGGCACATGTGTGAGGGGCTTTGCTCCTGAATGGGCTGCCTGCTGTCATCTTGACTGTGTGTATGTGGAATGGTGTCCTCTGAGTGCAGATTGTTTTTGTTAATACAGCCCTTAGGAGGCAGTGTCTGGGCAGGGTCAGAGACAGCCACTGTTTCCAGTCACCCTGTCTCTTTCTGGAAACATCTCATACCAATATGTACGCATGCTCATCTGCTTGGTCAGACACACATGGACTCACCACATCGGTGTTCTCCACAAGGTTTTTGTTTGCCCTTTCTTCCCAGTGAGCCACACATCATGGATGTTAAGACACGCAGATATTCCTGGTTCTTTTGCAGCCATCTCTGATGGATGGGAGGGAATTCATTGAGACAACCCAGGCTGGCAGCCTTTGGTTAGCTCCAGGGTTTGCTGTTCCAAGTAGGACATATTTCTGTAGAGAAGTCTTTGTGCGAGCAGTGGGTGAGTAGACATGTAGCATAACACCTGGACCCGAAACGGCAAGGCTGGTAGGTGTACTACTAGTGGTGGAATTGCGAAGTTGCCTGCAGTGATTACACAAAGCTGTCCCTATGTGGCCACCAGGGCAGAGAGCTATAGTTTCCATGGACCTGCTAAGTAAAAGAGGGAATACCTGGTCTGTTGATTTGTGTTTCTTTGACTTCAGAGTAAGACTATATTGAAAAGCCTTTTGAAATGTCATTCTGGGAAGCTCTGTCTCAACTTATCAGTTTTTTTCTCTGCAGAAATTAAAATTTTTATGTAGTCAAATTTATTATCCATTACTTAAAGATTTCTGGGTTTTCTTATTCCTACCTTTACTACCCTAATATACTTAAAAATTATTTCAGGTTTTTATAGTTTTTCAGTTTTCATGTTTAACTATTTGAATCTTTTAGTTTATTTTGTTTATTTAGTTTATTTTTATAAGTGCATTCATTTCCTGCCACAAGCAGTTGTGTCCTATGTCTGATGTGCAGCAAGGTATCTGTATCCCTTTGCAGTAGATGGCCTCTCTTGTTCCTCTCTTGGCAAGGAGTCAGTGTGAGGCTCACTGTAAGCAGTGCTGACTTGAGATGCACAAGAGTGCTAGGGAGTAGCTTGTCCCTATTTTTTTAAGGTGACTTTTTTTTTTTAATTAGAGTCTTACTCTGTTGCTCAGACTGAAGTGCAGTGGCATGAGCTCAGTTTACTGCAGCCTTGGCCTCCTGGGCTCAGGCAGTCCTTCCACTTCAGCCTCCTGAGTAGCTGGGACTATAGGTGTGCACCACCCCACCTGGCTAATTTTTTTTTTCTTTTTTATAGCAATAAGGTCTTGCTATGCTGCCCAGGCTGGGATTTTTTTTTATTTTTTTTAATAGAAGCAAATAGAGACTTTTATGCTTTTGTTGTATGTACCATTATTTGGCTTTTCCCCTTTACCTATCGATGTATGAATAGATTCCCTAATATTGAACCATCTTTGCATTCCCGGTATGAACACCATTTATTGTGCATTATTTTTTTAATATACTGCCAGGTTCTATTTGCTAATTTTATTCATCTTGTGTGTGTGTTTTCTTTTTTATTTTGCAACATTTGTCACAGTAAGTTCAGTGACAACTGGTTCAATGGCTAGGATAGGAGAGACACTTCACACCTGTTAGAATTATGTGGTATGACATTTACAGATACCGGGATGATGTTGATTTTGTCAGATCCAAACTAACTGGAACCAGGAGAGCACCAAGGAGGGGGCGTCCTGCTTGCATGTCCAAGAAATGACTGTCTTGTGGACTCCTAAAATAACCCCACAGGAATTACTCCATGTCTTGTATCCCGTGCTTCTTGCAACAACATATCACATGTGGAGAAATATGAACATAATCCTGTGACCAGCCTCATTATGTGACATTCTGGAGGACTGCAACAATTCAGAGGAGATGCTCTTGGGTGAATGCCTGCCCTGTGATGGTGTTGCCACCATGACCCGACGCCAGCTCTGGCTTTGAGCCTCCAGAGCCGGTGAGGTTCATTTCTCGGCAGCTTCGTGATCATCTCCTTTGTGCCACATGAAAGTGTCCCTCACTCTCCCACTTAGATGCAGCCATGGCCAGTGCTGTGTGTCTTGGGTCATGATTCTGTTGACTTACTCTCAAGTAAATTCATTACATTAGGAGAGCGTTTTCTCTGATATGAAGTTGTTTTTTATGTTAACAGTAGGGATTAAACTCTCTCAGAACTGTGATGTGGAGGCCAGAGGATGATGTCTCCAAGTATCGGCCATAATTTGCCTGTAAGCACCAAGGTTACTGTCCTTCAAGTCTTGGCCTCAGAGTGTTGCTCAGGCCCAGGCTCTCCACTTTGTGCTGTTAGAGAGTGTGGCTGTAATCACTTGCAACTCCTCTAGTCATTAAAAGTGTTATTTTTCTATTGTTTGAAAACAGGTCTGTGATGTTAGACAGAGCCGAGAACCTACTTCATGACCACTATGGAGGAAAGGAATATTGGGATGTGAGTATTTCCCAAATGGTGGCTTTCTCAGTTTGTGTATGTTGTCTCAATCCAAGTTTTTAAAGTTTTGCAACAGCTGACTGCTCTGTTTATCAAGCTTGCTGACTAGAGTCACAGGTGCTTAGAAGCCATGGATGGGGGTCTTGGCAGTGAATTTGCTCCATCCCTCGTACAGCAACTTTGCCATAGGGCCCGGCCGTCAGGAGTCCTGCTGGGCTGTTCAGCATTCACTCCTAATGCACAGGCCCTGAACTCAGTGGCAGTGACCCTGGCATTGGGTCAGCCCCCAAGTCGTTGATGCATTTAGTTGCTAGAATTTCTCATTCTCTTGGTGCTCTTTAGTTTAGAAAGGTGGGGATATTTTGCAGTGAGGCCTTCATGTTGTAGCCGATTTCTGCTGAAATGGGGGAAGTTCCAACTCAGGTGACGTTTGGTGCATTTGCCACAGCTATGGTGAAGAGACACGATGGGGTTGGGAGGAACAGCTCCTGCTGTGTCAGCAGCATGTCCTGCTGGCATGTCATGTGGGTGGCAGCTGGTACAGCAGGCATCTGGGGAAGAACCACAGTCCCTGCTTGAGGGAGTTTGTGCTGGTCAGTCCAGCTTAGTTTGGCAAAAAAAAGAAGTGTTTGCCAAGTGCAGCTCGAAGTTGCCTCAGGGAGGAAACAGCGTGGAAGGCTGCACACCATCATGCTGGCCGAGGGCACAGCCACCAGAGTCCCGTGCTAGCTGGGGTAGGAGGTGGCTTGCCTGTTGCAGCTGCCTGTCGCTGAGGGAGGTAGAAGGAGGATGGAGAGAAGAGCCCAGCTCGGGAGGCTGGTGGGGTGGCTTCTGTGTAGGGCTCTCAGGCTGTGGGTGAGGTTTTGGTCCTGTGTTTGTCCATGGGAGCCTCGGGTGCTTAGCACAGTCCATCCCCACAGACCCGTCGGAGCATGGTGTTTGCCAGACACCTGCGGGTGGTCGGGGATGAATTTCGCAGCAGGTACCTGAACTCCACGGATGGCGTGGATGGAATCCCCTTCCAGGAGGACTGGACCAAAATGAAGGTAGTGTCTCCCTTGTTAATTAGAGACATGCCCCAAAACTCACCCCTTCAGCTATAAAGGTCAGACCAGGGTTGGCATGTCTGCCCGCCCTACAGACACTTTGGTTCCTTCCAGAAGGAGAATTGCCGTAACTACCTGATCGTGGGAGGGCCCAATGCTAGGGTACCTTCAGAACCTGTGTCTTGGTGCAAACTTAGAGGGTCACCCAGGAGTCTTCCCTTCAGTAAAAGGGGGAAATCACAACGGACCCAGCAGCCTAAATGGTGGAAATAGGAAGGAATAGATGAGCCAAGGCACATTCCCTGAGTGATAAAGAGAAAACATACAAGGTTCACCCAGCTCGCCCCAAGCACCATCAATACCCTTTGCTCTATGTCACCCTTTCTTAATGTATACATCTTTACTTTTTTTCTGAAAGTTTGGATTTTTTATAATGTAGTTTCAATTTTGTTGTTTTTAACAGCAAACTTTTCTAGTGAGGAATACCATTTTACCTGTTTACTCTTTTATGGGGTATGAGCTATTTCCAAGTGGAGTGACATTGATCAAGCAATAGTTAAGTTGCTTGGGTGGCTTTTACTGGGAAAAATTCTTAAATAGAACACTTTTCATTTTATTCCGTGTGTATTTTTTTCCAGTTTCATTTATATTTTAAAATATTTTAATTTTACTCAGATAAATGGCTTTTTGATTGTCTTAAGAAGATAAGGTCCCTGCAAGTTTCCGCCCAAATCCCTTAGGCAGCCCTGGAGGTCATCCCATGGAGGATGGCCTGTGGAAAATCTCTTCTCCCCCATCCCAAGTTCCCCATGGCCTGGACAGCTTCCCCCTACCTGGCTCCCCAGCAGGCCCCTGCAGTTCCACATGTCCCAGTTCTTTGCTAGGTCAAGCTGGGCTCTGCGTTGGGGGGCCCATACCTTGGTGTCCACCTGAGAAGAAAAGACTTCATCTGGGGACATAGGGAAGATGTGCCCAGCCTGGAAGGGGCTGTGAGGAAGATCCACAGCCTCATGAAGACCTACCAGCTGGACAAGGTGTTTGTGGCCACAGATGCCATCAGAAAGGGTATGGAGCTCTGCCTGGTAACCTTCTTTGCTTTTTTTTGCTCCCTGGTTCAATTCTGAGTGGACCTAGGCATGCATCATATCTTTACCTGCCTTCCTGGGAGGGTCAGGCTGTAGCCAGTCCTGAAGAATAAACAGTTGGCAAAGAATGCTGGCATTCCAAGAGCAGGTGCCCACCTGTTCACGCCAGGCGCTCCAGCTCAGAGGCCTCTCCTCTTACTTTGCAGAATATGAGGAGCTAAAAAAGCTTTTGCCGGAGATGGTAAGATTTGAACCCACATGGGAGGAGCTGGAGCTCTACAAGGATGGAGGTGTAGCCATCATTGACCAGTGGATCTGCGCCCACGCCAGGTGCTGTCCACAAATGCCTGCTGAGGGCGGGTTGGGTGGCTGGCACTGCTTACTGCATCTTCAGCGCTCCACAGTCAGGACAGATGCTGGCCTGTGTGCCATGAGCCTTTTCCTCATGTGTGTGCCCACTTGCTCTTCTGGCTCTTGACTGATTGTGCCCTAGAGTCAGAGGTCCTTCCTTATCTCTGGATCTCATGTGTAGATGCCTTCCATGCTGTGCTCTCATCACTTCATCCCATACCCCTTCTTTGTCTCGTTTCCTATCATCACAGTTTCTGTTCCATGTACCCCTGCCCTGAGAGTCACCTAGGCTGCTGGGCTTGCTTTATGTCCCTGTGATGTATTATTGCTGATGGATAGGCCCTAAAGTCAGGAAGCATAAGGCCATGTGTTACTGCTCATGGGTTGTTCCAGGGAGGCAGGCTCAGTCTCTGTTCCTTTAGCTGTGTCTGCATGTCTGTGTGGGGCCCATGGTTGAGACTGGGTCAGCATATTTTGAGTATGATGGACTATGAAAGTGGGGTGTGTGATTCTTCCTGTGGGTTCAGAGCTTTCAGATGCCGCATAATGCTGTGCATGGGAAACCCACAGAGGGCCCAGGTGATGCCACCCCCAGAGTGAGGTCCCCGTTCCTCCGATAGGCAGATGGCGTGCAGGTGGTTCTCAGAGCAGGACTGAAGTGTGGAACTGAGTTTCAAGGGCGTTCCTGCTCCTCGGGTGTGACTGGGGGTTTTCATCAAGATCTGGGCAGGTTCATCTCCTCAGTCCCAGCTGTGCTCTGGGAAGGTTCTGCACTTAGCTTTCCAGCCTCCTGCCTTTGGTTCTTCTGGGAGTATGGCTCTGTGAGGTTGTGGCACAGCCCTGACAGCTCCATGCAAGGAGTGCTTGGCACAGCCAACTGCTGCTGCTCTGCCCCTGGGCCGGCACTGCCCACTCTGGCAGCTCTCTCTGCGTGGGGTGGTGGAGGTCTCCCCACTGGATACCACCTCCCACCCAGCAGCAGACAGGCCTGTGCAGCCTCCTGGCCCCACATACAGCACTGTGTACATAGCGCTTGTTTTGGAAATACCTCTTGGATTTGCTTGTGAGCTGCTAATGGAGAGCCAGAGAACAATTATACAGGATTCAGAAGAATGGTCAGGCCATTGCCCTAAAGGTTGGGAGGGTGTCTGAGAAGGGGGTCCCCACCAGCCTTCACAGTGTGTGTGAAGGAATCCCTTGACCTCCATGTTTCTGCCACTCCCAGAATAGGACCCCTCCCAGAACCAGAGCAGCAGATCATGCATAGGCAGCCCTTGTGGTTTAGTGACCCCAGGTGTTCAACCTGCATTTTCGGACCTGGCCTGAAGATAGGCCATAGAGAGGAGGAAGACCCCTGGGAGGCATGGAGCAGGGAGGGGGTATGGACTGAAATGCTAGGCAGAGTCCCCCAGGGTACAGACGTGAGGGCACCTGAATGAGGTGGGCAAGCCAGGGGAGCACCAGTCCAAGGGGGCTTGCGGCAGGCACACTACAGGGTAGAGAGGCCAGACAGGGACCTACTGCTGTGTGTGGTTGATCAGTCTGTTGGTTCTCTACAATTCTGGGAACCTCTTGTTGTATTCTACAGGTTTTTTATCGGCACCTCGGTCTCAACATTTTCATTTCGGATTCATGAGGAGAGAGAGATCCTGGGATTGGACCCCAGGACAACGTACAACAGGTTCTGTGGAGACCAGGAGAAGGCCTGTGAGCAGCCTACCCACTGGAAGATCGCCTACTGATCTTTGGACCCATGTCACATAGGTGGACGCAGGTTCCGTTGCCATGGGGGTTGCTCCGTAGCCTGGCAAGGGACTGGGTGGATAGTCCCTTCATGGGTCCCAGGCCCAGAGGGGGTCTTGCTTGGGGTGTGACACTCTAGAGCCTGCTCCATCCTCAGCACTCCCTCATCCATGTGTGCAGGAAGAGGCTCTGCTGCCTCTGGCCAGGCTGTGTTTCGTTAGCATCTGGGAAGCCACGTCCCAACTACAGATGTGGTCCATGTGATGGGCCCGGCTTGGGGCCTTTGTACTCGCCTTTTGTCTTCTGTGTATTTTAAGTGCATTGAGGACTGACGCTGGTGGGTGAGCCGCCCCGTTCTGGGTAGACTTGGACTGAAGTTTCCCTTGAAGCTGGCATGACTGTAGATATTACTTTAAATGTCTACAGGAGCCAGAGAAGGCTTCTGCACCCCACCTGCCCTTCCACCTGACAGGAGACATGTGTGAGCTGGTTTCCTCATGGGTGGACAGAAGGTGAACCTGCCTCCATGCAGAACCGAACTGGGAACTTTAGGGAGCTCTGAAGGTTATGACCATGTAGACCCTCCTCTCTCCATGTCAGAGTGCCAGAAGGCTCCTTGGCGGTGTCTGGGAAAACCCTCTATGGACCGCCTGTGGGAAACTCCCAGCTTTCCCCACACCAGCGTTCACAGGTGGGTGCAGGTGGGGCTTCTGGGTCTACCATCCGCTGTTGGGAATAGAAGTGAGAAGTGACAGTCACACCGACTCTAAAAGACTGCATCTAAGACGAACTACTGTGTCAGGTGTCTCTTCGTATCTGTTTTATAGAAATTATTTTCTAGATCTTCATGCTGCCATCACGAGGCCACCTGCACAGGAGGACATGGGACACAGAATTAGTGGAAGGAGCAGTGTCAACCCCGGGGACCCTTCCTGACCCCTTTGCTGGGGCCCTTTGTGACTTCCCACCAGTGTTGTGTGACCTTCAGCCAGTTCCTGCACTGAGCAGCCAATTCCTACATCTGCTAGAGGCACAGTGACGTGGACACTCTATGACAAGCAGAGGATGGACAGTGAGGAGGGCGGAGACCTTTTCTTCAGAGCCTGGCTAGGCCAGGCCCCACCTTCCTGTGACTTCTCCTTCCTAAGCTTTTAAATCTACCCTGAGCGTGCAGGGTCTTGTGTTACTCAGAGCTGTGCAGGGTAATGATGACATATTTATTCTTTTTCCATTTGTACATTCAGATGTTCTTAATAAAATTTTCTAGATGCTGGAATCCTAGAAACAGTGCCTTTTTCATTCCATTAAGTTTTCTTTAGGCTGAGAGCTGTATAAAACATTTTGGACTGTGATTGTGTACCTTTGTAAGGAAAATAAACTGCTTTATGGTTGTCAGTAGTTGTGGAGTATAGACTCATTCCCTGCCACACAGTGGGATGTCAAAGGCCCCTTTCAGTTTCCCAGAAAGACTGACTGGATACAGGTGGGACAAGGCAGGGCTGCCCTCACTAGTCTGTGTGCTGTGGGTGTGAGCATCTACACTGGGATGACACCTCCTGCTGGAACCCTGGGCCAACAAAGTGCCTTGGGTCTGCTCATGAGGAGACCTGTGAGGGCTAGTTACCATCAACAGCAGCCCAGCTCTCCTCTGTTTATGTGGCCACTGCATGGAGGGCTATTGGAGAAAAAGTTCCACAGTTGTAGAAAACATGGAAACTGCCAGTCATTCAGGCACTGAGGAGACAGCAACATGGCCTCCATGGGGTTACATTGTGGGAAGAGACCAGCCAGTAAAAATATCTTTGTTAGGTGTAAATACTGTCACCAGACTGGAGAAGGAGGGGCTTGGAGGAGGTGGCAGGCTGAAAGGGGCTTAGGAAGGATTGGGGACCCATAACCTGCAGCACCAGGAACGATATGTGCCAAGGCTTCAGCACATGCTCATGCCCAAGGCAGAGGGTAGGTAGAGTGATGATGGAGTAACTGACCAGGGACACTTTGGAAGGATGTGTGGTCAGGGGGCCACTGCAGGATCTGAGCAGAGCAAGGTATGATGTGGCCACTATGTGAACAGCCTGGAAACCAGAGGCTGGTGAAGAGGCTGTTGCCACAATCCAGGTGAGACAGTGTTGTTAAGAATGTTAAAATAAAAATTTCAGACAAACTTGGCAGAGTTTATTTGAGCAAAGAACAATTCATGAATCGGGCAGTACTCGGAACCAGGAGAGGTTCCATAAGCTCTGCCCAGCAGCGTGGGCAGTCAGCCCTTGAAGACAGAACATGGAAGTGATGCACAGAAATGGCCTGGCTGGCTGCAGCCAGACGTCTCCTCATGTTGCTGTGGCCCGGTCAGTTGGTCACCCATTACTGGCTACTTGTTGAGACTCAGCTACTTGCTGTGACAAGAATCCAGTACAAATGTCAGGCTGTATTCAGTGGTCAAAACACATGGTGAAACACTGGCCAGCCCTGAGGGGGTTTATCATTAGCAGGCAGAACTTAGAGGCCCATTGAGCACACCCTTACCATTAGGTAGGGCAAGTATCTGTGTGGTAGAGCTTGACCTCCAGGCATCAGGGCCACTGGTCAGTGAGTGCAGACTGTTGAAAGAAGTGCTTTTGACACTCAGGTTTGCTTTATAAAAACAGAAAGAATAGATAACCTTTTTTTCTTCTTCTTTCAAGATATATAAGGCCTGACAAATTCATGAACTCATCCTAGAAAAAGTATTGCATACCTCATTGCTGACTACTACTATGGTCACCTTCAAAGTATTCCCCTTGGGAAGCTAGGCACTGATGCCAGTTCACCCATCAAAGCAATTCTGGAACTCTTTTACTAGAGTGGCTATCAGAACTGCTGTAGTATTGCCCTCGATGCCCTGGATGTCATCAAAATATCTTCCTTTCAATATTTCCTTCATCTTTGGGTAAAGAAAAAAGTCACTGGGGCCAGACCAGTAAGGAGGGTGTTCCAATACAGTTGTTTACTGACTAAAAACTCCCTCACAGACGGTGCTGTGTGAGCTGGTGCATTATCATGATGCAAGAGCTCCTTTGGGACCATTTTTGCATACACCTTTCTTATGCCAAGATTTTCAATTAAGACTTTCCTAACTTTATTGATGTTTATTTGGTCTGCTTCTCACAGGCAATCAATGGTCTGCTTTATTGATGTTTATTTGGTCTGCTTCTCACAGGCAATGATTTTGACACAGATTCAATGAATTTTTGCAACATTTTTGTCAATTCTTCTGGATGTGCAGAAGCCGCCTAGGGTCCTAGGACCCCTGAGCTAAGCAGGCAGCAAGAGCTCTGGGAGCCTCCTGGGAAGGGCCCAGAGATGCTGTACAAGGGGCCTCCTGGTGCCCGGGAGGAGAGCCATGACGGGGCAGGGACAGGAAGGTGGGGGGTGCCAAGTGGTCTCAACCCTCAGAGGCTGGAAGGAAGGGCTCTGCTGCAGGGTATTGACTGGTGGCTGTTCTGTAGGCAGAGACCACCCATGGGCAGTCCTGGCACCTCACAGGAGGGGCCACCTGGGAAGCCTGAGACATTGGGGGAAAGGGGCTTCTCCAGCAGCTTCTGGACTTCCCTGGGTGCCAGGGCCACCCTGGGAAATAGGGATGAATCCCACTTGGTCCCTGCCTTTGGGGAAAATCATGGGCTGGCCTGAAGGGGAGGGCTGGGGCAGAGGCATGGAGGGCTCCTGTGTGGACAGGGCCACAGTGAAGTGGGACTGGAGCCTGGTGGTCCCACAGGGCTCACTGACCCCCTCACCCTGTGCTTGGCCCAGGGGCGTCAGAGCCTGAATGGGCGCTGCCTATAGCTCTTGGTGGAGGCTCTGCAAGGTCTCAGAACTGCAAGAACCACGTGGGGCATGAGGAGTTAGGCCTGAGCCCACTTCGTGCCCATCCACCTCCTCCATGCTCTCCCCTACTCCTGAAAGGCCCCTGCAGCCCAACTGACTCTGGCTGGGTCAGGGAGGAGCCCAGGTCGGTGGTGCACAGGGTGTCAATGGCTGCCTCAAGCTCTGCCTCCTGGCACTCCGACCTCATCTATGGCTGTGGGTCCAGCAAGACGCTGCGGTCTGCAAGTGCGGGGTCCTGCCTGTCCAGGGAGGATCCAGCTGTGGCCTCACAGGGTCCCTTCAAGGTCCTTCTGACAAGGTCAGGACAGTGGCTGCATAAGGTTTGACCCACACCTCCTCCTATCCGCAGAGTGGGAGCAAGCTCAGTGAGTCAGTTGCCATCCTTCACTGTCGTGAGTGCAGCAGACTTGCCACACAGGCTCACAGTCCAACCATCTTGACAGAGACCACAGCTTCCCAGGATGCAGTGATTAACAGTGACGGTTTCACAAAGGCACGACTTTCCTTCCCCTTCAGCTGGGAAAGGTTATCTGCTGCACGCAGCTCTCTGGAGGCATCTGGGCTGAGAACTGTCAGACTGATTATCATAAGAAAATAATCTTCGCAACACACTTGTGGGAGGAGGGGCGGGGGACAAAGCCCAACTTCAAAGACAGTTTCCTGTGCATTTCCCTACCCTGCCGGCCACTCACTCCATGGGATCAGAGCCTGTGTGCCCTTGGCAGAGAAGCCTGGGCAGTGACAGCATGTGGTGGGGCCTCAGACAGCACCACCTGACGTGAACCTGAACTTGAGGAAGCTGTGGCTATGCCCCACATTCCTGGGCCAGGGCCCCACAGTAAGACTTTGGAGTCCCTTCCCCATCATTCAGGCAGTTCAGCAGCCCCAGAGCAACCGGACAGCCCGGAGAACCTGCCGAGAGTGCTTCTGGCTGGCCATTGCTTATGCTGCCTGGTATCCAGCAAGTCTGAGACCCATCCTGGGTCATAAGGAGCTGGTGGACCTGGCCCTGGAGCACTCTCTGAGAATATTTTCACCTTGCAGAGATCCCTGTCCTACCCACAAATGGCTGATGTTGATGCCCACATGCAGTGGAAAATTACTCTCCAAATCAGATCTACAGCCCAGGAACACGGTTCTAGACCAGGTGATGGCACCACACCAGTAGACCACAGAGCCCACAGAGCCCAGGCCACAGCCCTACACTGATGACCCTCACATCAGGTCCACATGGGATGCTGTCCTTGGCTTCTACTTGGTCCTCGTGGGAAACTGAGGCACATGGTTCTGTCCCAGGATCTGTAAACTGTTTGCTGTAGGAGCTGCTGCCATCTGGAAGAACCCATTGAGCTGGACACCGCCCAAACGTTTACTGAAAGTCACATCCTGGGGCTGTCATCTCATTACCCATGAGATGCATCCTTAAGTCCTTTCAATTTTATAAAAGCCCGTTTCAAAAGAACCCTAGTGTTCAACAACCTGAGATTCTAAAAACTTCAGCCATTACAGGCAGTGACAGAGCCAAAAAGCAGGTGGAAGATTTGCAGGTGGCAAAGGCTGGGGGAGGCCATGGAGACAGAAGGCATACCGAGGTGGTCAAGACACATCTTTCTGGGCCCTATCCCTGAGGGTCTGGGTCATCCATCTGCAGACCTGCCCTGCCCACTCAGCTAAGTGTAATAAGGCCCCAGAGCTGACCCAATCCTACCTCTTCAAAAATGGAATCTTTTACTTACAAGGTCTGAGAATCAAGTTCACAAACTTGATACTGGGCACTTATATTGGCAGCACTGTACAAACAGTGGTACAAACAGCACTGTACAAACTGGTAAGGTTGTATACTTTGTTATATCAGTGTCTCACAGCTGTGTTCTTGTCAATGTGTGGTGGTATCTTGCTGAGTGGTGTTCATTATTCTTGTTGCATGTTTTTGTGTGCTGTTGTGAGAATGTTGGAGCTTGAATTAAAGCAACAAGCAAACATTAAATTTCTTGTTAAACTTGGCAAGAGTGAAAGTGAAATCAGGGACACTGTTAGTCTAAGTTTATGGGGATAATGCCATGAAGAAAATGGCAGTGTACAAATGGATTAAATGTTTTTCTGAGGGGAGAGAAAGCATCATTGATGAAGAAAGGTCAGATTAGCCAGTAACTAGCAGAATTGACAAAAATGTTGCAAAAATTCATTGAATTTGTGTCAAAATCATTGATTGCCTGTGAGAAGCATAGCAGACCAAATAAACATCAATAAAGTTAGGAAAGTCTTAATTGAAAATCTTGGCATAAGAAAGGTGTATGCAAAAATGGTCCCAAAGGAGCTCTTGCATCATGATAATGCACCAGCTCACACAGCACTGTCTGTGAGGGAGTTTTTAGCCAGTAAACAACCGTGTTGAAACACCCTCCTTACTGGTCTGGCCCCCAATGACTTTTTTCTTTACCCAAAGATGAAGGAAATATTGAAAGGAAGATATTTTGATGACATCCAGGGCATCGAGGGCAATACTACAGCAGTTCTGATAGCCACTCTAG